GGTGTAATAAAAGACACGTTATTCCCTGGAGACAATTTGGTAGGAATTGTTGGTATCTGCAGAAAACAAAGCAAGTCAAATTGCGAAGCTACATCTCACAAAATTTCCTCTAAAACACATGAAAAATATAGAAATACATACAGGAAGCTAGTGCTTTCTACTTCAAGTAAACTCAAAGGATCGAAGGGGTACGTGCATTGTCAGTAGATAGCTTTCCCTTCTTTGTACACCAGATCTATTCGCGCGAGACAACATGGTTTATAGTACGTGCAGAGTCCTAAAACATTCTAAAATTCCAGAAATATAATCTTCAAGAATGCAATGAACATAATGCGGGTAGGAGTATTAATTGCGCTGCCCCTGACTACAAAATTACATGTAAAGAGCCAATTCCTTCCTGCGTCGAAAAATACAGGTATAGGTGATATGCACGTACGGCTATAGTTTCACAACCAGAAGCGGACCAGTGACTGAAATTTTGTCATGGCCTGTTGTTAAAGAGATTGTACAATAACTCTGTTTACGTGTACCCCTGAGTCACGAGAGGGAGAAGGAAAGTGTGTTCAAAACAAGAGCACGAGCTCGCGTTTGGCTGCGGTTCTTTTGGTGCAATTGCGAAATAATTGTGGTAAACTGGCGAGACGAACAACATAACAAGCCGCAAAGCTTCGAATGCGATTTGGTGGAGGAGTTGTACCGTTTTAGCTATTTTTTAGTAAAGAATAGTAATCGAAAGTAAGTAAAGGTTTTTACTCGGGTTTCGGATGAAAGCCCGAGTCCAAAAATGGAAGCAGTTTTCTCCTGGGCCAAATGCCAAGCGTTCCTGGCGGTAAGAGTGGAAACTGGGGATGAGAACTGCGACAGCTCGATTATCGTGTGCTTGCTCTTTGTGAGTATAATTTACGGAATGCTATGTGCTGTGAAGAAAACTTTGAAAAGAAGCATGTCTTATACACACTCATCTCTTATACAAAGATGTTGCACGTTTTCGGAACAGGGCGGCCCACGAATCCTATAGCTTGAGAGCAAGCCAAATTAACAAAGTTTATGCTAGTCCCCACAAGATAACAAATGAGCCATATATGAGTTCAAACTAATGAAACACTGACAAAGCTATATATGGGTACGGACTTGACAACAAACTGTGATGTTGAAAAATCACGAATCTTCGTGAACAGAACTCGAAGATGAGGCAGGCAACATGCACTTGAATAAAGAGGTTACTCAACGAAGCAACTTGAGTAGTAAATATGTAAACTTAACTCTTGTGTTAAATCTCGAGTCTTGTATTTTTTTTATTGTGTTCAATACTTGTAAAGTAAGATTGATATTGCCTTACTGCCTTATTATCTTATCTCAACCACTAAATAACATTAAAAATCTTTTTTGATAAATAAATATATTTATCTGCATCGAAACCACTTAATAGTTGTGTATTGCGAGGAACAAACAACGAAAAGGCAATAAAAGAGCCAGAGGCTTTAATATAGAGCTGAAGAAGAGTGTTATGGATAACGATAGACCAACTTGGAAACGTTACGCCAAACGGTCTAGGATGCTCTATCCCTGTTAGGTTTTAACCAACTGTGCGGTATAACTTGCCGAATAATTGAAAGAATCTTGAATTTTGAGCGCTGCAACTGATTTTTCCTCAGGAAGAGTTAACAGTCATAATTATCGCGCTTCTCCCTCGTTTTTGAGACTACGAGTTTTTTAAGGTCTACGTGATATGAAATACGTGAAAATGATTGGAGGATTGAATTTCCGTATGTGCCAAATTAAATGAAACAAAATTTGGCAGTAAGTGGAAATGTTGGGCTCCAATTATTGCTGAAATTCAGATAATCACATTGTGTAAGTATCTTTTCCTACCATTATACATGACACTTCATTCTGTCCATTTTGGCACAGAACTGGTAACGTGCACTTGTTAATTAGGTAGAGTTTTAGGCTAAGAATGTAATGGAAATTAAAATACCCCCGCAAGGAAAATAAGGATTGCGGTTGTCTCGAAGAGGAGGCGATAGTCGATTAAGGGTGCCCTTTTGCTCTTCTCTATTTTAGCTTTCTTCATCTCTTACTCTAGTTTTTATGGTAAAAGGAATTAATGGTTCGAGTCCATAGTATCTACTAATGTGAGTCTGAAACATCGACAAATGCTAGCTACAAGAACAAGCCGACATTACGAGAACTTTGTCAGGCATTGCGAGATCAACAAAGCTTTGTCTTCCCTGGAAGATTAAAAAAGGAAACCATTCGGTTGCTTGAAATGTTATCGGTTTAATCAAACTCATTAGTGATGAATGATAAATTGCATTGAATACATCCGTCCGGATTTAAAATTCTGCTTTGATCTCGATTTCACTGTCGTTTTACCTGTTTGTCGGGCACACCTTCACGATTGGCTAAAAATCTAGACAGATTTTGTTTGTATCAGTTTTACAATCTCTGACATACGACACAAAATAATTTTTTTGTACCTTTATTTAGTATTATATCACATTGTGAGATATATCAGACGAACGAAGCTTTTTAACCTCCACGTTTCATCTTAAAATGGTGTTACAAAAAGCCCGTACAAAAAGTCCCATTGTTGTCGATTCGATTATTTTCATTCGAGGTTAATAGCCCTACCCCATTGTTGTCGATGCGATTATTTTCATCCAGGTTAATAACCTTACTCTCTTGTGGTGCTGAGGAGAAATGTTCTAGAACTATCTAAGTTTCCAGCTTTTTATCAGAGAAGACCAATTCTCCACCCATTTTGCGATCTATTAGTCCCTTCATACATGTAGCTTCTGTTTATTAGATTTGTCCATTACTGCATTTGTGATACTGTTTCTCTTATTGATCAGGCAGGTTTTGTCGGTTTTTACGAATCTCCGTGCGCAGTCTGTGATGAAAGTTCGAAGTGCTTTCGTAATCTTTACTACCTTATGGAATTAAATTAATTATTCTATCTGATTGATTGATTGATTGATTTATTGGAAAAGGTCGGTTGAAGGTGATCATGCGTGACCTCATCCACTTTCTCTTGTCTTTTCAGTTCCTTGACTTGGGAACACAGTCAAGCGAAAAGAAAAACGTCAAATATACGTCATGCGCAATGCAGACGATTTATGTTTTCTTCATCCTCTCTTAATCATCTTTTTTGACTCATTCTATTTCGTTAGCCTTGGTTGCGAACTGGTTGAAGAATTTTATCACATGTCTCACAAAAATAGTAGAGAAAAAAAATATATAAAGATCAAATGGTAGAATTTTGTAGTAACAGATGGATAGAATTAATAGTACGCATAAGAAATACTTAGGAAAGTGATCTATGCAGTAATGATACAGTACGACAGTAATTAATTCTTTCATTTTTGCTAGAAAATCTTTGAGATGTCGATTGACAAAAATTCAGTTTTGTGAAATCTTATACAGGTTAAGACCACGAAACCTGTGCACTTAGAAATTGTAGTAATTTTTGTTCTTAGAGTCAATGGGCTGCCGAAAGACATAAAAGAACTTACGGTCAAATGTTAAGTGATCGGATTTTGGGATATCCGAAACAAAGACATGAGTTTGTCTGGGAGTTTTCATCAGTGACTGCAACCAACTGATTCTTGTGGTTTATGTGGACGAAGTTATTTGAGACAGAGAATTTCCCATCACTTTTTTTTTTTGGATATACTTTTTCACTTAGTTTCCCGCCCCCCCCCCCCCCCCCCCCCCCCCCCAGGAGGAGAAAATATACTCAAGATAAGATCGTATGAAGACTTTAATCATTTGGGCTAAATTAA